ACTTACCGTTATTCCCTTATCCTGCTGCTCCTGGGATGGGGATGCTGGGAATAACCGCTCCAGCTCGTTCATGTCCAGCTGCTTTCCATTCAAGTCCCGGTCATCCCTGTCCCTGCGAGCGGCCCCGTTCAGGATGAGGCCCGTGGCATTTCGCTGGCTCCTGGGGATCTGCGGGGTTGACAGCTGCTCCTGCACGTTTTTGCACATCAGCAGCCTGAAAAATAAAGAGACGGAGCCCGAGGGTGAGCAGAGCTGGTGCCTCCCCCCCTCCCTTCCCCATACCCTGAGTCTGCCTTATCCCTGCACCACATTCCTTCACTCCTTAAATCCCTCGTACAAAGTCACGACTCTTCCCCTCGCCGTGAAAGGGCTCTTGGTTTACAGGGAGGATCTTGCCAGAGCAGAAGCAGCGCTGCTCCCGGGAAGCAGCAGGTCCCTCGATGGGGACCGGAGCTGACGGGGTGTATTCGGAGAAGCCCGCCGGGTCTGGGTGCCCGGGAGGAGGCAGGAGCCGTGCTGCAAACAGCACCCGGCATTCACGGCAGCCGGGCTGCGCAATTGCACGCCGCGGGATGCTGAGATGTCCGCGGGAAACGGCCCGTCATCCCACTGGGGGTGTGAGGCCCCCGCAGGGATACCCGCACGGCATTAGGGACCAGCACCCCTCGTGAGCAGCGGCGTGAGCAATTCCTACCTTCCTCTGTACCCAAACATGAGGAAGAGGACGCAGAATATGATGCACGTGACGCCGATGTGGATCCCAATGATGATGCCGGTCGTGGAGGTTTTATTGTTCTGCTCGTCCTTCATGCAATTGCAAGGGGGATTCAGCACTGCCAGAAGAAAAGGGGAAAGGGGTCAGTGGTGCTGTGTCCCTCTTGCTCCTCCAGCTTTTGGGGAGCCCAGAGCCAAAGCTGGAGCCGGGGTGGTGCTGGGAGCCGTGTACGGGGAAGAGCAGAGCAGGGCGGGGGGCCGGAAGGTCCGTAGAGGGGCAGCCCCGTTACCCAGGCTGCTGTTATTAGACACAATTAATGAACAAAAAAGACTCTGATGTTAATTTTTACAACGCCCTGTGTCCGAGGTGGGAGGTGAGAGGCGGGCTGGTACCTGATGGGAAGCACCGAGCAGGCAGATGCCAACGAGATTAGTATTTACTTCAACAGAGACAGAGCAGTAATAACTGTCTCTTGAAGATATTCCCACTGGAAGGCTTAAAAGGCTTCCAAGAGCAGCAGGATGTTTTTTACACGTAGATGAATAGGAAAGGTGTGATCAGTTAGCGATTCCCTCTAGAGATTTCCCCTTTTTCTGCCACACAATGCAGTGCTCATGCTCTGCAGCCCTTCTCCTTTCCAAAGCCATCACGTCCTCCCTTTCCGGCACCAGCGAAGGTCAAATTATCCAGGAGAGCTCCAGGAGAGCAGAGATGCTCCGTGCACCATGTCCCACCTGAGGATGGGCAGCTCTTAGCTTAGGGGATTTGTTCATATCCATGGGGACAAAACTGGCAATTACAGGAACATCTGGTTTGTCTTCTCCACCTTGGTGAAAAAGTCACCAGGTTGAACTGTGCTGTGAAGGGGTGTCAGCTCGCTAAGGCTAATGAAGGCTAACGAGGATGGTGCAAGCCACCCCAACCAGCACCAGGTGGTCCCAGCCCTGCAGAGTTTTGCTTCATCGTTATTTATGACGCGGAAAATAAATGAGCGGCTGAAAACGAGATGGTGGGGTAGAGCCCTGGGCGCCTGGGGGATGTGTCCGGCCTTGCCACCTTTCTGCAAAGCGGTTTTCACAAACCACCGCCGGGACGAACGTCCCGTCTCACCTGTCCTCTCCACAGTTTCCCTCAAGGACACGAAGCGGACAGTTGAATTTCCATCCCCGTGCTGGTTATAGGCGAGGAGCTTGACTTCATACACCACCGACGCATCTGTTTTGAAGAAGACACCAGAAGGGCATTTCAGGTTTAATCATTAGCGTTATCTCCCCAAGCGATGCTTAGTTAGGAAAACACCTGACCAAATGCCCACAAGATGCTGCAAACAAGTACCTGCTACTGGCAAGGCACCCCAAAAACCTGGGGGAGAGCTGCAGCATCTCCCGTTTAATGGTCGTGCAACACATCCGAGCTTTCCCGAGGTCAGGAGGGGACAGGGATCAAGCTGTCACCATACTCACCCAGGTGGGTAATGTTGTACGCTGTTACGTTGCTGGGCAGTAGCACCGGACCCGTGTACTGGGAGAGGTGGACCTTGCGGTAATACAGCTTGAAGCCTTCGTGCTGGCCCAGTTTGATGGAGGGCTCCCACGTAGCCCGGACGGTGGTGCTGTTAATGACTTTAATAAAGAGGGACGGCATGGCTGGGACTGAAACAGAGAGAGAAAGACAGTGGGTTGCACGGGTTTTTTTTTTTTTTTTTAGTTTGCACGATGAGAAATTCCCCAGCAGCCTTTCCCTGCGGTCACTGCACCAAAGAACGTGCTAGATGAGATTGAGAAAAATCAGGTCAGGCCAGATGCTGGTTTAACAGCTTTGAACTTCTTCAGGGAGCTGTAGGAGTCTCCAAGGTTTTCCTACGCTGGGTTCAGCAAGCACACAGGCTACTTTTACACTGCCGTTGCAACCTGATGCTCAGCCCTGTCAGGAATGCTGCAACTTTGGCAACACATTCCCAAATTCCACTTTTCTGCTCTCGCCCTGATGGTAGCGAGGACCTTTCGGAGTGATTAATCCCCCAGGGAGGAAAGAACCAGAAGGGATGGAGCCGGAGACATCTGTCTTAAAAGCGTGCTAGGTACCTGCACCGGCTTGCAGGATGCGTGGGAGCTTGCTCTCCCCGGCGGCTTTAGGAGAGAGGTTTGTGATTCTGTGCTGGGGACTTAGGAGAGAAACGGGGCATCTTCATTAACGCACTAAATACCTGGGCAGCCCGAGATCCCTGCGCAGCTGCGGCTGGCTTGTTTTGGTGGGCAGGCACTTACCTGGCCTTAGGGGCGCACGGGGCGTTAGCTGGGAAGATGTCCCTGCTGCTGCCCAGTGTCACCGAGACCTGATTCGAGGTCCCCCAGGATGCCCACCAGCCAATGCCCCCAAACCCTGCCCTTGTTCTGGGGGTGCGCTGCAGCAGCGGGTCACGGCCGTTCCCTCCCTCCCCAAAAAGCTGCTCAGCCCCATCCTGCCCCATCATCCTGGGCTGAAAGGCAACGATTTGCAAACCAAAGCCAATTTTCTGGCGATAGTGATAGCTGGGTTTTCCAAAGCTGGTTCTGCACAAACCCTGCCCCTGAGCTCTGTGCAGCGCCGGGGCACACAGGAACACATTTCCCCCCAAGCCTCTTCCTTCCCCTCTCCCTCCCTTTCTCATACACTGATCGCACCAATGCAGAGATGTGTCTCAGCAGCACATTCCACCGATGATTTTTTTTTTTTCCCCCCCAACCTTGTTTCCTCAAAACAACCCCAGGCCAAACGCTCCCGTCAGTTCCCCAGCCTTTGGCACCATTCAGAAGGTGCAAAGCACCGAGCGCTGCCGGCTCTGCCCTGCCCAGGAGGGAGAAGGGATTTCGGGCACTGCTAAACCCTGCAGCAAAATTACCCAGCGGAACAACAGCCCTACTCTTCCAGCAGCCTCCAAGCTTTGAGACAGAGCTATTTTTCCAATCCCACATGATTACAAGCTCGGAAGTTCCCAAATATAAGGATTGCTCGGCTTGAATTGAACCGATGCTGCTTTTTGTCTTGTTCTTCCCCAAAGGGGCTCTAAAGGATGAGGAAAGCAAACCTGGGCCTTGCCAGCGTCCTTTGGCAGAGACTTCAGCACTTAGCGAGCGATGGTGAAAAGCGGATTGGCCGCGTCAATCCAAGACTGACGAGAGCTAAAAAGGCCGTTTCCTCCATTTAACAGTGCAGGCAGAACCGCACAGCACGACGCTTTGCTTTTTCCCAGGCACCCGCGGCTCAAGCTTTCCCACGAGGAGACTCAGGGGAAGGAAAGACATCTCTCCTGGTGAGCAGGAGGGTCTGGGCAACGCCGTCTCTTCCCAAAGAGATGCTCTCCTGCAGGTTGCAGGGGGGTTTTGCCTGACGCCCACCGAATAAGCACGGGGAGAGGAACAAGTCCCTGCTGAGTGGTTGAGCATCTCCACGTGGGTTCAGGAGGAAAGACTCAGAGAGCAGCTGTCCTCGGCCAGGTTAATGAGATCCCATCCTGCCTGAGCGCTGCCAATGGGAAAAAACGGGTTGAAGTGCTTCTTCTTGCTAGGATTTGTTCTGATTTCATTGATGGGAAGGCTGTGCTTAGCAATTTCTGGGTGCAAACCAGAGTAAATTCTATTTATACCAGAATGTACCATTCTTCCCAAGGCTGCATATATTCGCAATCCAATTAAATACTCTTTTTTTTTTTTTTTTTTTCCCGGAAGTCTCCCAATTCCCTTTAGGGCAAAATTAGGAATTGTCTGGATCGCCCCTCTGAGACGTCGGACCCTTGCTTAAAGCATCATTTTCCAAATCACAGGTGAAAACGCCACGGAAAGGGAAATCACATTATCCCATGGACAAAGAAACACTGATGTGGGCCATCCTGATTTGCGAAGAGTTGGCTTTATTTTACGGTTGCAGAGCCTTACATTTAATAAAAACCACAAGAATATCTCTCCTTCAAAGTATGGAATATATAGTGTTTATTCAAACTTTGAGTATATATATATATGTATAATATTGATTATATGTATGCACTCGCAGAATGCATGTGCTGTTTATAATGTTATTACACAAATAAGTGTATACAGATGGAGTATATCGGTGTGTGTGTATAAATATATGCACACACAGCAGGGTATAGGTGCTTCGCAGAAGTATATATAAGACATAATATGGATCTACTATAAGTGAGGCATCTCCCTCATGCTAAGGGCTGGGATACTTGTTTTCCTCTTCCGTGCTGTTTGGAATTTTCCCCAGGTCATTTCAACTTTCTTCTTGAAGGCGTCTTTAGCCGAAGATGACTAAAGGAACAGTCTTCACCCTAGAGAAATGTCAAAAAGTCCTGGAGAAAACCCTAAAAAGCATTAAAAGACAAGAACAAGGAGTGTGTGCTGCTTAACGAAGCGGAGAGAGTCTGAGATTTAAAATACCACGGCATTTGTGAAACGGCGTAAAGGAGAACAACAGGGAGGAGACACGAGGACCTTCCTAGCAAGAGGTTTATGGAGGACAAGGTTCACTTGGGTAGTTTCTCTACGGCATCTTCCCTTCTACTTTCCATCCAAAATTACCACTGGCCCCAAGGAAGGAGCACCGCACTTCTAGAAAGCACTGGAGGCTTCAGCCAAGCGCGCTCTCAGCATATCCCTAGCCCTGAGAAGCCGACCTCCCCGAGCCGAAACCAGCCCTGCTCCTCGGTACCTCCACCACATTCCTTCTCCGGACAACACCAGTACAACGCGGTCACTCAGACCAGTCTCGGGCTGGCAGCATCTCTACTGGCCGCTCCGACAAGCGCCGTCCCGGCTCGGCCGAGCCGTCCCTGGCCGGCAGATGCACCCACCGTGTCCTTTCCAGGGAAAGCAGGACACGGCAGCGCGGTGACGCGGGACACCCTGCGTACGTCTCTGCACACATCTCACGCACGTCGCGCTGAGCCGCGATGGTAAAACCGAGACGTGGCGTGTCGGGGAAATCCCGTCCCTTTCCGAGGCTGTTAGCACAGATCCAGGGGCTCCCCGAGCCCGGAGGGGGGGGTGTCACAGCTCTCCAGTGCGCCTCAGGATTGCACGGGGTGAAATGGCTTGGCTGCGAGAAGAGGCAAATCTGCAGCAAAACCTTCGCTTGGTGACAAAAGCCGCTGGATCCCGGCTCCCTGAGCCGCTCTCACCTCCGTGAGCAGAAAGCAACAGGCACCCGAGCGAAGCGAAGCAAAGCAAACAAATCAAGCCAGAACCGGGGCTTTTAAATCTCTCTTCATCTCCCTACCCAAGCTGGGGTTCAGTGATCTTAACCAGGCCAGCTTCTCCGTCCTGAACATGGAGCTAATTGCTGAAGCTTCGTTATGCAGGACAAGCCTTTTTTACAGGATATAGAAGAGAGCAGGACAGGGATGCCTTGAAACTTCAAAGAGATGGGAAATTTATGATCCCATTACCAGATACCTAACTATTCCTGTCATGACTGAAGGTAATAATGACAAAAAGTCCTCTCGCACTTGACCCAGACTTCTGCAGAAGCACCAAGCTCTGCGAAGCGTGGCTGGCTTGTAGCTCCAGTAGCTGAACTCAGAGCGTTGGGTCAACGACTTTCAAGTTTTGCCTTAGTCCACCCTTGTCTCTCTAAATTGGAAGGAAAAACAAACTCCAAGGGTGACCGATTCCCTGCAGAGTACCAAGGAAAATAAACTTGCAGGGCAACAACCCAGCAGGGCGAGGATTTTTTGGTGTTGTTGCTTAAATGTTGTAGCAAACGACTGCAAGGGCTGAAAACGGAATGAGAACTGGATCCCCCACCTCAGCCAACGCACTCTTTCATTTGATCCTAAATAACATCCTCACACCCGAGGCCCTCTCTGCTGCAAATTCAGAATTACTGAGTGTTCATGAGAACGATGCAACGCTCCTAAGAAATTAGTCTCAGTAAATGAGCCAAGCCAGGATTCAGAAACCCTGGAGAGGTACCTGAGTCTCCAGGAAAACGTTCCTAAAATGCCGGCTGGGGCTGTGGTTTCCGTGGTTTCTGTGTGCAAGGATCCCACATTGCAGCACCCAACTTTCGTACTAGGGAAGGCCAAGTCAGGAAAAAAATCTTGGAGATCACCCTAAGTTCTCACTGAAACGGCAGGCGGGGACTCGCAGGTCAGGGCAGCTCAGCTCTAGTGTGATTTCCACACCGCAGAGCAGAAAAAAGTCAAATTCAGAAGTCACCCTAAGTTCTCAATGAAATGGCAGGCGGGGACTCGCAGGTCAAGGCAGCTCAGCTCTAGTGTGATTTCCCCACCGCAGAGCAGAAAAAAGTCAAATTCAGAAAAATGTGGTACCTATCAAGTAAAAGCTGTGAGTACCAGAGCTGCTGGAGGATGCTGAGACGCTGCTTGAAGAGGAAATCTGCATTTAGCAAGCGGTTTAGGAAAAGCCCAGAGCAGCCGCAATGCACGAGACCAGCCAGACTTGCGCTCCCCCCCCCCAACATCAGCTGCGAGAGGAGCAATGCCGTGTCTAAGGCAACCAGCCGGCCCCCGCGCAACGACACAAGCGAGTTTTACACAACAGCCCGGAGTACGAGGAGCAGCGGGAACGAGGTGCAGCAACACCGCAGGCTGCCTGCCAAAACACCCCGGGGTGCGTATGGGGGTGCCCGGCGCTGCTGCTACGTGCAGCGGGTTTCAGCATCTGATGGTCCAAGCGCAAAGCGTTCCTTACCTTCTCCCAGCGTGCTCACCACTGTGACTTCTGAGGCTTTGCTGGCACCCCGGGAGGTGTAAGCCTTTATATAAAAGCTATAGCTGGTCGAGGGCTCTAAATCAGTCACTAGCTGCTGGAAGGTGCTCTTGCTAACAGCCTCCTGATACTCCATCTCTACGGGATCTGAAGTGCAAAGAAAGAGAGAAGAGAGCGGTGTTAGGCTTTGCAAGACGTAAAGAGACTAAACGGATGGTGCAAGTGGTAATTTTGGTCCCTAAGGTGGGTATGTATCTGCCCACATCATTTTCTGCTGATATTTCTGTGCGTTTTGCCGGAGAGCTAAGCGGGCAGCAAGATCTGACCACGCAGCTTCACCCTCCCCACCCTTTTGGTATTTACATCACCGTTACTGCCTCATCTCTGTCTTTCAGAAACGTGGCGATGATGGAGAACATGGGTGGCAGCATTGCCTACTGCAGTGCAGACCTAGCGGGCCGCCTTGCTAAATTATGGGAAGGCTGAGGACACTCCGGGCAGTGCGTTGAGCACCATACCTGCAGCTTTCCGAATGTGCAGCACGTAGCCGATGATCTCCTTGGTGTTCTGCAGAGGCTCTTTCCAAGACACCTGGATGGTGGTTGCAGAGACCGTCTCAGCCTTCACGCTCTGCGGAGGACCGGGCAGCCCATCTGCCCACAGGACCGTCAGGCGAGCGCTGGCTTGCGTGGAGCCGGCGCTGTTCTCGGCGATGCACTGGTAGATGGCTTCATCCGCCTGGTTGATCCCGTAGATGGAGAGAGTGCTGTGTGGGGACACGAGAGGGACAAGCATCTCACTGAGCTCTCTGCAGCGGACGTCCCTCCCCTCCAGCCACGCCGTGGCCCCCACGCTGGGCGATGGCAGAGCATCCCAACACGCCTCTATTTCCACGGAAAGCTTCCGGGAAGCTGTGTCCTGGTGCTTTTGGGGAAGGAAAAGCCCAGGAGGAGGACGTGGCATTCCCCGGATCCTGCGACTGGGCAGATTACCTCTGGCTTGACCTGCAGAGACTGGGGTTCAAGTACAGCCAGATGGGGACACCGGGTGGGACGGGGAGGATCTGGAACCCCGAATTCAGGAAGATCACAGCTCTGTGGCAAGTGCATCATCCATACACCCAAACCAGCTTTAACTGGCTTAGGTCCAGTACACACCAGTGAGACCCATCCAGGCACCGCACACGGTTGCTAAGCCAAGTCTAATCAGGCGCAGGCAGAAAGCCCTCTGGCGATGCTCTAATTGCATTATAGCACATTAGAGCAGTCTTAGAGTAACACCGGGATTAGCTGACTTATCCGGCAGGGTTATAGCCTCAGCTCCTGCTTCTGCATTTTCAGAAACACGATCACCTCCAGCCAAAAGCCAAAGCTGATGAGCAAGTTGCAGGTTTTGTCTGCAAAAACCTCTGAGCATCTTTCCGATGCTGGCGCATCAAAGCTTGCTCTCCCAGGGCAGCAAGCAGGACAGTTCCTCCAGCCTGCTCTCAGGGATCTCCACACCAGGCTTAGGTGCTGTTTTCAGCCTCCAAGATAGAGACAGGCACTGGTTACCCTGATGGAAACCATCCCTAAACCGGGGGGGATGCCACCGCCAGTGATGTACCAGCTTCCCAAATGAGTGCGTTCCTGAGCACGGTGCCCGTCTCTGCGCCAGCTCTGGGAGGGCTGTTCAGTGGCTCAATGGGCACAGGGACAACCGGAATCCGTGTACACGTGGGCACTTGGACTGAAGACCCTTTCGGAGCTGCATGAGCCTCCAGCAGTGGTTGTGTACAACCGGAGCAAGTCCAGGGCCAGCCCAAGGGTTGCACTGCCCAGTGTCTTTAAAACAATGCCAGCAAATACTGGGTCAGAAATAAACGTACAGCACATCGGCTTTATCTTGCCATTCAGCGTGCAAACCAGCTTTTCTTAGTAACATTTGTTCACAAACAGGGAGCCGTCAACGAAAGCTCTGCTCTCTCCAGGGCTTGCGCCCCTCCTCAGAAATCCAGCCAGAAACAACACGATCCGATTTGTGACTCTCCAGCAGACACAAGGCCCCACAAATAAATACCCAATGCGTCTCCCTTCCAAGACACGGGGCAGGGAAGTCTCACTACGCTGTGTCCGGCTCCGAGCTGGACGTGGAAAAGCAGCCTTTGACATTGGAGATGTTTTTACCAAACAACATCTTGAGGCGGCAGCTCGGGTTATGATACAATACGCTTACGATGCCCTTAGTCCTCGGATGTAGGATGTTCTCACAAACAGGGCATCCTGGGGAAAATTTCTGAAATAAAGGTCCAGTAGGGGCCCAGATGGGACCAGCTAAAGCACTGTAAATTGTATTTGTCACTGCTAATTGTGGGGATTGACTAGTCCTATAGATAGGCTATAGGATATACCCCTACAGCACTGAATAAAGCACCGCTCACCACTGCCTCCCCCTCCGTTTTAGAGCATCACCCATACGTGCCCCACTCTGGATTAATCCCTATTTGTGCATCTCTATTTCCAGTCCTGCCCAGTTCATTTGAATTGTGGTTTTGCTTCTGGCTTGGCACGAACGTGGTCTGAGAGACCACGATGCCTCCAAGCTTCATCATCATCGTGTTGGCTAACGCCAAAGCTCGCATGAGCTTTTTCATTGCTATTTTTCTGTAAGAAATGACCTGAACCTAACCAAATCCACATCCACTGCTTGCTTCTGGGGAGAAATAAATTATTTTCTTCTCCTGCGGTGAATTCCAGGTGGACTCGCGACTTGACTGCACATGAGTAAATCCCAAGCATCCCCGCTGATGTGAGGGGCAGTTCACGGCTTTCTGGGAGTTGTAATCAAAGCTGCCCTTTATGTAAATGAAATATTGTACATGGGAAGTGGGAATGATAAATAACCTGCCACTTCCTGCCTGTATGTCAGAACGAACGCTTCTTCTAATTGCAGCAAAATATTGTTCTTCCTATATTAAAATTTATTATTGCTGTTGGTTTAACACTCATATTTCTGCCTTACAAATTATCGGGGCCACGGCGAGTGAGCAAATGTTTAACAGTCATCTATTTATGTCCTGTGCCTTTGTTTCCTTGGAAACATTGTAAATGGAATATCAAATGTGATGGTTTCAGCTGATATGGTGATTTTAGAGAATCAGCCCTGAGCTCCCCCCATAGCCACAGGCCCAACGTATCTGATTAAATGGAAGGAGAAAGCCGGAGCCGGGGCGGGGGGAGCGCAGGGAGGAAAGACCCCGATCCGTGGCTCAACTGTGTCAACAAGGCTTGATGCCTGCGAGGACAGATGGCAGAAGGCAGGATTACGCCGTCCGAAAGCTGTACTTGCAGCTCCGCACAAAGCAGATGTGCGGAAGGAGCGGCAGCCCTTCCTTCTGCCCCATCAATGCACGGATTATTTCCACGCGGCCGCTGCGCATCTGGGCACCCGGGAACGGCCGGGCTGGGCTGGCACACGAGTCGAGAGCGGCGTTAACCTTCCCAAGCACAAAACAGCTCAGGAACAACGAGGAGCGTTCAGGTTCCGCTGCCTCCAAGTGTATTTATTTGCTTTACAAGGAGAAGTGCAAAGATGCGGAGGGGGGGGAGAGAGGAGCCTGGTGGGATAGCGGTGCCTGGGTGCAAGGAGCCTGAGGACAACAGCATGATGCTGGGGCCAAAGACATCTCTCCTGGGAGGATTAGGGGCTGAGCAAAGCTCCTCTTGTGCAGCACAGATGATGTGCTGGATGCCAGTGCTCCCGGAGCCAGACAGCACTTGGCCACTGGGACCGGAGCTGGGCAGAGCCTCAGACATCCCAGGTGCTTCTCTGCAGAGGTCCCAGGGCGGCCGGTAACCCTGTCACACACAGTCAAGTCGGAAGAAATAAATAAAACAAATTTCTGCAAAGTGGACGTGGCAGGTAGCTGGAAACTTGCTTCAGGCTTTGAAAAGTTCATTTGCATTGAGATTTCCAAGGCGGTGTTTGGACGTACCGCGCAGCAAGAGCCTCGGCCATCCGTTCGTTACCTAGGGCCAGCGTTACCTGGAGCGATGCGCAGGCAGCGGGCTCAATAAAATGACTGGATTTTTCGGCTATGCCTATAAACCTGGGCAAGGAGCAGAAACCAAGTGATGTTTGTCATGGCTCCATGAAAGTAAGGAATTCTCCACGAGAACGAGGATTTTCTCTCCGCCGGTCCCTCTAACACCCACCGGCAGACCTCTAAAGGAGGCTGCTGAGCTCCCTGCAAGCCCCAGCATGAAGCTCACTGGTAGCTGCAATGAGGAGGGCAGGAGCTGGCAGGGAGTTACATGAATCCCACCACCATCCCGGCTGATACCTCTGCTGTGCATCCGTTTTCATCTTAACTACTGACAAATTCTTCCTGCCTTTGCCCACCGCATCGCCCCCCAGGATGCGGGGTGGCAGGGTCTGGTTTCGGTCCAGCAGCTTTCGCAGGTTTTGCGGGGTTTTTTTTTTGTTTTGTGTTTTTTTTTTTTTTTAAGGAAGCTCAAACAAAAGGAAAATATGTAGTTGCCGTGCGAGGAGGCGCGGAGCATCTCTGCGCGCCAACCATCTGAAATATGCAGTGTCCTTTTATTTCTTCCCATCAACAGGAAAAAAAAAATCTGTCACTTTGGGACATCTGCTGTTGGAAAACTTTCCCGCGAGTGCCAGACCGGCAGCGCTGCGAGCACGTCAGACGAGGCGAGATGCCAGAAGGCTTTCTGCTGGTCACCCAAGCCGCTCGGCGAGCCGAGGGCTCCATCACATCTCCACACAATGCCCTGACAGGCATTGATGGAAGTGGGGAGAGGAGCCGCTGCCGATTCACAACCGGCTGCGCT